CTGAGTGCTGGGGTTGATGGATGTGTCCCCCCAGAGCCCCACTGGGGCTGCCCAGTGCTCGATGGCTTCTGGGCAGCACTTGTGGTTTGTAAGCTGGATATCCTGAATCTTCTTGCCAATCATTAACCTGCTCTTCCAGGGCAAATGCAGCTGGGTAAGAGTGCCAGGGCAGCACGTAGGCACCAATTAAATCCCTGGCAGGATGCAAGCAGAGCACGTTACAGCAATTGCTGGCACTCCTGCTCTCGGCAATGCCAGTGTGCTTCCTGCTGCAAACAGAGGGAAGGGAGTTAATGGGTGACCACAGCAGGGCAGCCAGCGTGTCCTTTGCAAGGGTCATGTTTGGGAATTTCCTTTTCCTGTGGTTTCAGGTGTGTTTACTATGTGCAGTGCTCTCCATTGACAATTTTGGGGCCACATGTGGGGTAGTGTCCAAGTTCTCTTCACCAGCTCATTCCTTGACTTCTTTGTTACTTATGTGTTAGCTCCCCTATTTTTAGAAGATTAAGAAACCACTGCAACAGTAATAATCCTGGAGCTATTCTTGTCCAGAAGGATGCAGAAGTGGCTGAACTCACACAGGGAGCATGGAGCCCTCAGTGTAGGTGTCACAGGGGCAGCTCATGGCAGCTGCTCTGCTGATCCATGCTCTGACAGGAATGGCTTGGTGAGGAGATGACCTGGGAAGATGGCCCCATTTCCACTTGGCAGTAGGTAAGAGGGGGAAAATGATTCAAGCTTGACCAGAGTGCTGGTGGGAACATGCCTGCTGTCATGGGAAGTTCCTCCTTGGCTCAGATGCAGGGCCTGTTTCTTCTCCTCTCACTGCACTGCAGGCATCAGGGCCTGAGCTCACATTTAGATGTCTAAATTACAGCCGATGAGGACACCCTTCCCAGCCAGAATCTGCCAGGATCTTTGTGTAGGTCCTGGCCAAGGGCTGAGCTCCCTGTTTCCCATTGTAGTCTGGAGATTGGCACTGAAGAGGGTGATTTACTCATCCCTCCAAACTGCCCTCTGGGGGACTCTTTTCTCTTGGCCAGAAAGGTATTTTGGGGGATCTTCTTTTGGCCAGGCTGAAGGTCTCCTTGTGAATCCTATCCCTCAGAGCCTGCAGACAGCACATTCCCCGTGGCTCATCCCTCCACTGGCACTACAGGAGATAATTAGTGCGTGGCTAAGTCATATGTGCTGAGGGTCAGGCAAGACAATGAGGCACATTTTCCCCTGGAGTAAAGAGATGTCAACAGAGTTGCACTGCAGCGAAATGATGGGATCTGTCAGTGACCCTGGCCCTTTCACTGAGCAAACAGCCCGGGGCAGAGCCCTCCTCCAGAAGAATGGCATGGTCTGGCAGCCAGGCACCCTTGTGAACGCACACGTGGGGCTCTCCCAGGGCTGCTGTCCCCAGGAGCCTTCATCCCACACCCCTGGGCCCACAGTAACTCCTTGGAGGCCACTCCTTGGTGTGGCTGTGAAATCAGCCCTCAGGAGAGCCAAGTACCTGCCCCTGGGGACAGCAGCGGGAGGAACACAGCTTGGAAATGATGATTTCCAATGGAGTTTTGGGATATTTCAGGAGCACTTGGACAAAGTAAAATAGAACAGAACCAGAGTGGTCACCCTTGCCACACACAGATCAGGTGAGGACTTGTCCATCTGACATCCTTCAGCTCAGTTCTTCCAGTGCACAGGATTATCCATGTTAATTAAAAGGCCCATGGTTAATGCTGTGAGGCAAAATAGCTCTCTGGCTGTTTCAGTGCTGCTTAGGATGGGGAAATTCTCTTTGCATTTATGCTCCGCATGAAAGGGGATCCAGATCTCCAACCTTCATCTTCTTTCCCCTGAGTCTCACCAGACATTACACAGCACAGTGTGGAGACCAAGAGGGGCCACACCATTGGCCTGGGCTATGAAGGGCAAGAAAAAAATCTTGATTTTTCAAGGGGATCTTCCAGTACAGAATAATTTCAACCAATTGTGATGGCAAAAATAAGCTCTTTTGACAGTACAAGTCTTGTGCATTAAAACAAAGTAATCCCCTTTGGTTTCACCTTGATGTTGCTATGCTCCAAATGCCAACATCACTCTTTATTCTGCTCACATTCCTCTCCAGTTTCAGGTAAAAGACCAAATGTCTCTCACCCTCTTGCTGGAGCTGAGTCTGTCAAGTGTGGCTCCTTTTTTGCCACTCCCTAACTCACATCTTTGGGACTTACACCCCCTTATCTGTAAAAAATCACATACCTAGGTGATATTCTAATGCAGTAGTGGATTTTTCCAGTCGTTCCACCTGGTGAAATGTGCTGTGGACTGAGATTGCCATGCAACCAATGATCATTAGAACATCTGTGCTCTGGCAGCTGAAGGCAGCATGTCCATTGATGCTCTCAGCTCTGCCCTGGCAGAGAGCCCCAGCGTGCTGATGTGCCAGGCTGGTGTTTTCTATGGACTCTGAGTTAGAGCCTTGCTCTTCCAAGCTGCTTTCAGCATGTGCTGCCTGCACTGCAGCCTGCTTTGTGAAACAAATGGTGTATTCTGGCAGAGAGTGTTCAGACAGCTGGGAGAAAGTAATGGCTGGGCTGGGAGCAGGCTTGGAGCTGCATTCTGGAGCCATCTCGCTCTTTTGATGAGCATTTCCACATTTTCCTCTATGGAGGGAGTGGGTAACATGCTCCTGAACAAGGTGCTGCAGCCCAGCAGAGCCCAGGCACCCTTTGTGCCTCCCAGAAAGGTGCAGGAACCAACAGGCACAGGGCAGCAACAGGCACTGGGTGCCCTTAAATGTCCTTAAATGCCTCTCTCTGGTGCATTACCTGGCTCCAGAGCAGAACAGCAGTGAGGGCTACCATGCCCAGGGCTGTCACAGGCTGTGCTCAGAGACTTGAGAACACTCAGAGAAAGGTGTTATGTGGTGATTCAAGGCAGAATCACCCCTCTTATTCAGGCTCCCATGTTGGAATGTGTTGCACAAATGGATTGGGGGAGACCTACAGTCAGAGGGATTCAAGAGGTCTTTGCATACTGTCAACATCCATTTAGAAATTGCTCCACATGTGGCCCCAGCTCATGCAATTGAGCCCTTGACCGCATCCTGTAAAACAGGGCAGCGCCTGTTTCCTGGGAGCTCTACCAAGTCGTCTCCAAGTGCTTTTAATTTACCAATATAACTAGTGAGATGTTCCTGCTGCGTCCTTGCGCCGTGCCTCCCAGGAGAACAGCTTGTCAGGGTGTTAAAAAGATGCCAGTGTGCTTCTGTGAAGGGCTTCCTATGGATAATGATTTGCACATCCCATAGAAAAGTCCTTCTCGGATGACACGTGGAACATTGCAGCTATGTCCGAGGCTGATGGTTATTTTCCACATAAATGGAATTATATTTGCCTTCAGCAACATTGGCCACTGGGACCTCTTTCTAAAGCTGGCAGCGCTTCCAAGTCTCTAAATAAAGTGACACAGACCTGAGGTAAAAGCCTGGGGTGGAAAGCAAACAGAGATGTTCTCACGAGAAGAGCAGACAGGATGGGTTGTGATAAGATGGCTATAATGGAAGAAAATGTAGAAAACCAGAGGGTCTCATGTGGGAGTCCCACTGTGGTCTCATGAGTGGCACTCAGTGTGTGTTGAAGGCTCCTATAGATTTCTGTTAAACTGGGCAACAAAAGGTTTTGCCTGTTAGTCAGAGCCATCCCAGAGAATGAGTCACAGCCAGTGGGAAAGGCGATGCTCCTTCAGCAGCACCACAGAGCTCTGCAGCAGAGATCTGCCTCTCCCGTGGAGGGGCACGGGCTGGTGTTGGGGAAGATGAAACAGGAAAGCCTTATAAATATGATTGCCTGGCAAAAGATTTTAAGAAAATAGAAACTATAAGCGAGATTGAAATGAAAGCAAGCTTTGAGATACCTTAGTTACTGAACAACTGGAAAACAATGGCATGGCTGGCTGAAGGTAATCCCCTTTTGATGAAACAATACCCTGTGCTTGCAGACAGGCCCAAGGGTCAGAGCAGACCCTACAGCTTGGCAGAAGGGGCCCAAAGAGTCGTTTTTAGGGTTTAAAAAGTAACACAGTATGGTAATGTAATGATTCTTATAGGCTGTATGTAAATGCTGTAGGATTTGTATCATGTACTAGATTGGTTAGTGAGAATTAGAATATTCAGCACAGAAGATTTATTGTATTGTAACGGGAACCTCGCTCTCTTGCCCCTTTTACTCTCTTACCTTTTTTACTCTCTTACCCTCTCATCCTCTCTACCCCTCTCTTCTCTCAGGCTGGGAAGTGACACAAGGCTGGGAGGTGACACAGGCTGTGAAGTGGCACGGGCAGTTGTCACGCCCACCCTCTCCTGCTCTTTCAAGGCACATCTGGCTGCTCAGATGAGTGTGTGCAGCTCAGCCACACGTCTGTAGTCCATTGGAGTGTGGATTTGGGGGACGCAAGGTGTCTGCCTTTTTTTAGGTCGAGCTGAAGCTGTCAGTGATATGTCCAGGGCAAACCCCAGGGAGTGGATGTGCAGGGTGGTGAGGGACGAGTCCCCCTGGGTGCTGTGGGTGTTTGCATGAATGCAGCTGGTGGAGCACTGACTGCTCAGCATCCCTGACTGCTGAGGAAGGTGCAGAGCAGGCATCTCCTCTCCACATCTCTGTCTGGCAGGCAGATCCCACGGTCCATCAGTAAATTGGCTTTTTTCCAGTGTGGAAAGCCTGTGCTGTAGTGCTGGGACTCTGGGCCTCAGCTCCTCATGAGACTTTCTGTGTGAATGAGAGCAGGTGTCAGACCAAAGCACACAACAGGCTCAGAGCAGTGGGTTCAGAGGGAGGTGTTCACCTGGCAAATCCTGGGAAGGGACTTGTCCAAATCCTATCCAGGCTATTCAGCAAGCTCAGGTAGCCCATCCTGTCAAGCAGGGGTGACCCTCCAGGGCCAGGAATGGCTGTCACTTCATGAGGTTGTTCAGCAATGGAGTAAGAAATGTCTGCTGTACTTTTCAACAGAAAGATTTCCAGACTGCAGTTCAACAAGGTGAAGCTTGAAGATGCTGGGGAGTACAGCTGCGAAGCTGAGAACATTTTAGGGAAAGACACCGCCAAAGGCAGCCTGAATGTGAAAAGTGGTAAGTGAAGAAGCCAGCAAATGTCTTGAGCTGTCTGCCATTCCACAGAAAGGTTCTGCTCATGGTCTGTCTTGTATTTTGTTTCATGCTTTCAGGATATCGAGTAAAATAATCTTGGGAGATAAGAAAAATGCAGCTTAGCATAAATGTTTATCTTTGTTATCTATCACTGGCAATGTGGTTAATTTACATTTTAAATAAACTTACAGTCGATGTATTTTTTTAAAAAAAAGGGGTAAGGAGGAAAGAAAGCTGGTGGGCTTGATGTTTTCATTTTTTAAAGAATTTCTGAGAAGCAAAACTCACCAGAAGACAAGTAATTAGACCATAGCTTTGTGATGAGTGAAGTTGCTTCTGGTTTTCATCCTAGAATGTGTGCTCCATCTCTTAGAGCTCAGCGGATGGAGTCTGAGGTTAGGTGGTTTTATTATTATCTTGGTCATAATAATTATATTGCTTAACACGCTGGTTTGGATGCACCCTCCGGCTCAGAAAGTCCCTACAGTGGCTGCCAGAAGCTGGGAGGGCACAGCTGGGAGGGGGTGACTGTATTTCCTAAGCTCTTCCTCCTGCCATTCACAAGGGGCACTGTGGCAGCCTGGGCTGTGAGCTGGGCTCTGCAGCCTTTGCTGGGATCCAGGATTTTGTTCTCATCCCAGTGTGACGGAAGGTATCTTGCTCCTGCTGCTTTCTGACAGTATTTTCTCTCTTACTTCAGCGTGTGTGCCATCCTGAATCTTTTGTTCTGTGAAGCTGCAGCATCACACAGCCTTCCTCTGCCTGCTCAGTCCCAGTGCTGGCAGGGTCTGCAGGAAGGCCACCCTTGCTCACACCTCCCTGCCTTCATCCTCCGTGTCTGTAAACTCAGCCCTGCTGCTCTGCTGGGGTTATTTCCAATTCTGATAGCAAAGGTGTCCCCAGTAAGAAACTGAGGCAGTGCTCTCCTTTTTTATTTCTTGCCTCACTCTCTGGCTGTCCCACACCACATAAACTGCTCCTGTGTGATGGGAGCTGCATGTGCAACCTCCCTTCCCCCTGTGCAGCCATCAGAGCCCTGTCTGCTCCTCTGCTGCCCCTTCCCCAGCACCTGCACCCTTCTCACAAGAGGAGGAGAGAGGTTGAGCAGTGCCTGCAGCAGGACCCTGACCTGCACACCTGGTAAATGCACAGCAGGGAAATGCATACAGGGAAATGCACACCTGGTTAATGCACAGCAGGGAAATGCACACAGGGAAATGCACACCTGGTAAATCCACAGCAGGGAAATGCACATCAGGGAAATGCACATCAGGGAAATGCATACAGGGAAATGCACACAGGGAAATGCACAGCAGGGAAATGCACACAGGAAATGCACACAGGGAAATGCATAGCAGGGAAATGCACACAGGGAAATGCACACCTGGTAAAAGCACAGCAGGGAAATGCACAGCAGGGAAATGCACAGCAAGTAAATGCACAACAGGTAAATGCACAACAGGGAAATGCACAGCAGGGAAATGCATACAGGGAAATGCACACCTGGTAAATACACACAGGGAAATGCACAGCAGGCAAATGCACACGGGGAAATGCACACAGGGAAATGCACAGCAGGGAAGTGCACAGCTGGGAAATGCACACCTGGTAAAGGCACAGCAGGGAAATGCACACAGGGAAATGCACACAGGGAATTGCACAGCAGGGAAATGTACACCTGGTAAATGCACACCTGGCCACTGCAGGGCAGGCAGCACCTGCCAGGGTGCTCAGGAAGCCACCCTGTGTCACAAGGACCCTCCCAGCAGGGATGGGCTCACTCCTGAGCTGCCCAGAAATGTGCTAAGACCCAAAAACCCATGAAAGGCACACAAAGATCTCTCTGTGAATCTGGTGGGTTCCCTGCCTGGATGATCCATGCTCTCAGCCTTGCCACTGGGCCCTTGGCTCGCTGCTCAGCTGCAGGCACACCTTGCTGCTGTTTGCAGAGCACCTGCCAGGGCAGCAGGGCCATCTGAGCCCCTGTGAGGGCAGCCCAGGTGATGCTGATCCCTGGAGGCTTTTGTGGCCCTCGCACTCCTTTTTCCAGTTCTTTTCACCACTCTTTTTTCCTCTTTCCCCTGCAGCTACCCAGAGTTAAGCAGCCTTCCCCACAATGCAGGCTCATGCTCTCCTGGAGTATTCCTGTCCCATCACTGCTCAGCCTTCCTGGGGCCTGGCAAGCTTTCCTCACTTCTTCTGTGACACCTTTAAGTACAAAACTCCTCAGGGCACCTGAATCCACATGTGTGGTGTCCCCTGTTTCTTCTTCCCCAGGATCCTTAGCACTGCTCCTGTTGTGGCTTCCATTGCAAAGTGCTCTTTGCTCTATTCCAACACCACTTTTCCATTTCAGAAAAGCAGCTTTTCAGCCATACAGATCTGCTGCAAGTCACCAAAACCACCACATCTTTAGAGAGAGTGGCTGCACAGCAGAGACCCCTTGGCACTTAGGAAATGCCCCTCAGCCAAACCCTCCCCTCAGCCCTCCTCTACAATTCCAGCATTTCCACAAAACTCCCAGCTCAGAAATAAATGCTTTTGCATTGAGAAACTTTGTGAGGGCGTTAATTTCTGAGGAAATGCTTCTGGACTTAGTCAAAATATACTGCAATATATTGCAGATTTTATGACTTTGAAGTAAATTAGATGCTTTCTTAGAAAAATATCCCATTTCCCAGTTCTCATCATTGAATAGTCTAATGTTGATATCTCATGGCCATGAGGGCACAGTTGAGGTGGGACTGTTTCAGATTCTTTTTTTCCTCAGAAAATTTTTAGGCATCTCCTCAATTGCCCTGCCCCTTATCAAACACTGCAGAGAAAATCAAGTTGTACAAAAAATTCTTTCTGCTTCTGGCTCTTTGTGGTGGTCTGGCAGGGTGGTCAGGCTCCTGGGGCTTCCTCCTTTGTGCATCCAGAGGGTGTGAGGGACCTCTCCAGAGGCGCTGGTGCTGCCAGCAGGGTTGAGCAGAGCATTCTGTGGGCATTGGGGTTCCCAGTATCCTTCAAAAAGAAGAAATAACTCCCTGTGCTTGCCTCCCCTAATCCCGGGGTCCTTGCTTCATCTCTTTCCTGTTCCTCCACCTCTGGTCCAAGCATTAATTTGTGCTGCAGGACTTCACGTGGGATGGAGGCTCTTCAGAAAACCCCACCTCTTCTTAAACCTCACATTTTCCCCACTACCACATCCTGCCATCCCATCTTTGCACTCTTGTGGCCATCAGGGCTAAGGAAACCTCCCACATTTTCACTCATCTCCTGCCAGGTGAGCCCTGAGCCATCTCTGCCTCTTTATTGTGACACGAGGCCCTTCCCAGCGAGGGGACACGGTGCCCGGTGCCATCCCCTGCAGGGACACTGCTTGTCCTGCCTCTGGCACCCCAATCAATGCCTGCCCAAAGCTGCACTGACACCTTGGCAGCCCCAGCCTGTGCCCCCAGCAGCACCTGCCCCTCTGCTCCTCCCCACAGTAGCTAAGCCCACCCTGCTCTGCTCAAAGGAGATTATTTTGTTCACTACTTTCTTACCTTAATTTCCCCAGGAACAACGAAAGCACCACAAGTCTTACCAGCCTCAGAAACTAAAATAGTTGTTATGGAAGAAGAGTGTAAGTACCTCTCCCCCACCCCCCCCATACAGCTGCTTTCCCCTGATTTGTTTGCTATTATGAGACATTTTGCATAAATGCTTTATTGCCTCCTGGAATCTTCTTTAATCACTCCTTCTGTCTGATTTTTCCCAAAGCCACTGGTCTTTCTTTCCCTAGATCTTTAAAAAAATCTGATTTATATTGCTGGTGTCTATCTTGGAGAGGGAGAATTTGATAACTATTGCAATGGCAGCTTGAAGAACATGATACCTAAAATTGCAGCTGAAGTTCAAGCACTCCCAGCTCTTTCAGTACATGGAGTTATTGGTATTTGCAAGATGTGCTTGTTATGGCCTTTGATTTAACAGGGTTTTCTTTTATCACTTTGTTTTTGTGTTTGGGTTGGGGCTTTTTGAGTATAGTTGATCAAACCAAAACTGTAGCAAGTACAAGAAAAAAGACATGAGTCTTCTAAGCATAGGTAATAAGAAAATTGCAGAAAATCCATCCATGCCCTGCCATCCCATTTTTTCCTGAGTCTCCAGAAAGCAAGAACAGATTTCCCCAAATCCTTAATTTGATTTATTGTGGCTGAAATGCTTTTTAGCATTCCCTCCTACTCAGTTGTCCCAAAAGCAGTAGAAAATGGGCACAGAGCAATAAAAACCAAGGAGTGGATACAAGTGAAGATTAGAATCCTGGTGCCTGGATATTGGCTCAGCAATTCCTGGTGGAGGGTGTTTGGTCTGTGTCAGGGGGTCTCTCCCCACTGGGAGCCACCAGGATCCTGGCAAAAGCCCTGGGAAGGCAGGAGCAGGCAGGGATTTTTATTTTTGTGTGCTTCCATCCCAGCTGCAGATGCCCAGAGCCGAGAGCACAGCTGGCTGTGCCTCCCTGTTGGCAGTTCTGCTCTGCAGATTTTATGGGGATGTTTCCTCCTTTGAAAGCTCAGTCTTTTATGAATTTAAAGGAAATCTGATTGCAGCCACAGCAGGCACTGGCCAGGTATTCTTTAAAAGCTTTTCTGATTAGAAAACTGCATTTAAATTGTGCTCTTTGTAGTGCTTAGCCTTGCACTGCACTAGGGATGCCAAGCTGAGATGCAGCATCATTAATGCCATGGCCACACCATCCTTCCCCAGGATTTTCCCTTTGCTTTCACCAGAGGAGATCCATGCTACTTATTTGCATCATATTAGATTAATTTTATTTTCTTAAAAGCCAAAACTCAGAAAGGACACTCAGAAATTTCCCCTTTTGGAAAATTTCTTTGCTCTGTGTGTGCATCATCACATTCTTTGTTTTTCCTAATGATGGGAAGAGATGGCAAAGTCCCCACAGTTAAAGCTGTATCTCACTTTTCCCTTCACATTCCTTTTTTGCAATATCT